AACATTTAACCAAACCCATTAATCCTAAACAAACCCAAATATTCGAGGTTTTTCTTTAAAAACTAAACTCACCTTCTATTGCATTTGAAATGGAGAGATTGAAAGGGGAAAAGATTCAGAATTTGTTCTTTTCGAATTTGATGGAGATGGAATTGAAAGGGGATATGAAATTAGGGTTTTATATCGATTTAAATTTGGAGATACTTGGGTTTAGGGGGAAAATCAGTTTGAAGATCCTCTGAGATATTTGAAACGTGTTTCATTTGCTTTAATTAAACTGAAGATTTAATATGGGTTAAATAAGCTTTTGTTTCATTACATAACTAAATAGCATGCTTGGCCTGGTGGCAAGGGCAATCCAATATCATGTTTTTGCCCCAGGTTCGAATCCCCTTTCATGCAAGTAGCAGCCTTTAATTTATTCTTGCCAATACGCACCAATAGGAGAGTGACACGTGTTACTCTCTTATTAGTGTAAAATTCTAATTGAATTTTTTTAAAACAAAAAAATTTGCTGACGTGTCAATTCCACGTCAGTATATATTAGTGACGTGGACAGACCACATCATCATCGTTGTCCACCTGTGCTTGCTTAGTCAGCTGGAGCCGTTGACCGTCAGTTGACTAACGATTTTCATCCAACGAGGATGCTTTTTGACCCAAAATAAAACGTGGGGAGATCAAATGCTAAAAAAAAATGATTTGGATAGAATTGCATATATGGTCAAACGTTAGAGGTATTTGTTTGCATTATGCCAAGAAAGAATATGCAGTGAAGCAAAGTAGGTTATTTTTAACAAATTCCTAACAATACTTGGCAACCTGAAACGCTACAATGGAACATTAATGGGCCCATAAACTAAAATAAAACAGAAGAAAAAAGGTGAAGGAAGGAAAAAGAAAATCAAAGGAAGGGAAGCCATCGAAGCATAAATTTACCCCATTAGTCTTCGCTGAAGGCTGAAGAATCGACAGGGAAATATTTTTTTTAAAAAATTTAAATCATTTCTCGATTTGTACGTGTCAAACCTTATGCAGGGGCCTAGGGCCGACCCTGAGCCCAAGCGCGGAGGGCGATTGCGTACGCCTCAGATTTTATAGGGGCCTATTTTTAAAAATGATAATAATTTAACTATTAGAAAATAGAAGATATGTAAAACGGTTCATAGTGTATATATATAAAAATCAATTTATGGTTTGACTTTTCATCCATCTCTTGTTTGTCAGCTATGTTTTGATGGGACAGGGGCCCATTTTTAAAAATAATTATAATTTAACTATTAGAAAAGTAAAAGATATGTAAAACGGTCTATAGTGTATATATATATATAAATCAATTTGTGGTTTGATTTTTCATCCATCTCTTTTCTGTTAGCTATGTTTTGATGGAATCCCATAAAGCTTACATATTTGTTCCTGTTTGCTTAATAATCATGCCAAAATCCCATTTCAATTTGAAATGGTTATTGTCAGTTTTCTCTGGAAATCGGGACCAAACCACTGTACATAACATTTTTCCTTACAACTGAATTATAATTTATAAATGCTACCTTTTTGGTTTTCCATATTTATCTCTGCAACTCATAGTCTAAAACATCCTAAACACTCCGATCTATTTACCTTAATCCAAATCAAAACTGAAAATCGCATAAATAAGGCCAAAACGCCCTTAAACCGAGACCACAACTTTGGTTTGTGTTTGCTCCGACGAACCCGACTTCGATGGGAATTGGGAAGCTCCGATGACTCACAAGTAACGCTTTCCCTTTTCTGTTTGACTCTATTTTGCTTTATAAATTTTTGTTTTTATTCTTGTTGTATTCGAAATAAAAAACGAATGGATAAAGACTTGTATTGATTCTCTGGTTTGTGTGTTGCTTCAAGAAATTAAAGAAAAATTTTTGGTATTCTATAATTTCTCTTGAATGGAGAGGAAAAAGAAATAAATTATGTTTTTTCTTGTGTGTAGTAAAGTTTTGACATATATTTCTGGTTTTAAATTATGATTTGTCTTATGTGTAGTAAAATTTTGTTATAACTTAAATGTTTTAAAAGGATGATTGATACAATTTGTTAAGGCTCTGTTTGCTTGCTGTTTTTTGATGTTCATGTTATAACTATTAATATTTATGTTAACAGCGTCAATTATCAAATTGGGAATTTGAGATTTTATCTTACTCCAATGAATTACAATTCTAATTGAAGAATTCAGGTGCAATTGTTCTTTTCTTATACTTATTTATTAGAATTGGTTTGTTTTTTACTCTTTGATAAGATGTTGCCTAAAAAAATTTGTCTGAAAGTAAAAAAAGAAAAAAAGGAAGCGAGATGAGGAGTTAAATAAGTCACAAAAAAGTGCGCTTGATAAATTTTTGTTTGAAAAGGTTGATTCTCATGAAACTTTGAATCAATCAACTGAAAATTTACATACTGAAAATCCTGGAAATTCTGAAAATGTGAATGATCCAATTGACTTTAATGACGTGCCAATTGATGAAAATGCTGAAAATTTAGGCATTGGTGAAGAAACACTTCCTCATTTGAATATATATGATCCTATAAATTAGGAGTATCTTGACAATAATGCGAGAGATATATTAGTTGAAAAAGGGCCCATAAGAGAAATGGATCTTGAATTTCTTGTTGATAAATATTATAGACATTTCTCATATGCATGTTATTCTAGAAAGTTGAGCAATGGTGAGACTAGTGATAGAAAATGGTTAGTTTATTTCAAAAATGTTGACAAAATATATTGTTTTTGTTGCAAGTTGTTTAAATCGATTAGTAATGTAAGTTTGTTAGCAAATGATGGCTTAAGTGATTAGAAACATATTAACCAAAGGCTTAAACAACATGAAAATAGTGTTGAACATATGACTAATATGAATACTTGGAATGAATTGAGAGTAAGATTGGATAAAAATCAAACAATCGATAAAAATTTGCAAGAAGAGATTATGAAAGAGAAAGAGCGTCGGAGACAAGTGTTACAAAGAATATTTTCAGTTGTGAAATGTCTTGCTAAACATAATCTTGCATTTCGAGGATCCAATGAAAAACTATATCAAGATAACAATGGTAATTTTCTGGGATTTATTGAAATGATTGCACAGTTTGATGTGATTATGCAAGATCATGTTAGACGCATTCATGATCGTGAAATTCATTATCATTATCTTGGACATAAAATTCAAAATGAGTTCATTTCCCTTTTGTCTCAAAGTGTGAGAAATTCTATCATTAAGATCATTAAAGAGGCTAAATACTTTTCCATAATTCTTGATTGTACGCCTGATGTGAGCCATCAAGAACAAATGACCCTCATAGTTCCATGTGTTAATATATTAAATAACAAAGTTAAAATTGAGGAGTTCTTTTTGGAGTTTCTAAAAGTGGATGATACATCTGGATTAGGACTCTTTAATGAACTACAAAATGTTTTGAAGTATATTGATCTTAATGTTGATGATGTGAGGGAACAAGGTTATGATAACGGTTCTAATATGAAAGGAAGGCACCAAGGTGTTCAAAAAAGATTTTTTTAAAATTAATCCAAAAGCATTATACATGCCTTGTGCTTGTCATAGTCTAAATCTCACTCTTGTTGATATGGCACATTCTTGTGTTAAAGCTATTTTTTTTGGAGTTGTTCAACGCATATATGCATTGTTTTCGGGTTCTACAAAGAGATGAAAAATTTTACTTGATAATGTTCCTGGATTAACTGTGAAAGATTTATCAAATACTCGATGGGAGAGTCAAATTAAAAGTGTCAAAGCTATTAGATTTCAATGTCCCCAAATAAGATTGCCTTTGTGTGAATCATATGAATCTTGTGAAAATGATGCAAAGTCAAAAAGTGAAGCTGAAAGTTTGGTGAAAGCACTCTCAAGTTTTGAGTTTGCTTGGTGTTGTGATTTGGTATGAAATTTTATTTGCTGTTAATATGGTAAGCAAGAAATTACAATCTAAGTCTATGTGCATTGATACTACCATAAGACAATTAGAAGGTGTGATGTTCTACTTTGAAAAATATAGAGATGAAGGTTTTACAAGTAGTATGAATGTAGTTAAAAGTCTTGCACTTGAAATGGATGTGGAGCATATCTTTCCCACAAAACGTCGTGTGATTAGGAAGAACTTTTTTAGAGAGAATAATGAGGATAACGAAGTTGAATCACCTGAAGAGTCATTTAGGGTCAATTATTTTTTGGTTGTGGTAGATATGTCAATTACTTCTTTGAAGAATAGATTTGAGCAATTGAAGACATTTGAAAGTATTTTTGGATTTTTATATGATTCAAATAAGTTAAAGTCATTAGATGATAATGAGTTGAAAGAATATTGTGCTCATTTTCATTCTACCTCTTCTCATGTCAATTCATCAGATGTTGACTTAGATGATATTTTCTCTGAATTGAAAGTCTTACAAATAACTTTGCCAACAGAATTGTTATCTGCCACTGAAATTCTTAAGTTTGTCAAATCTGCAGATTGTTGTCCGAATGCTTCAATTGCTTATAGGATTTTATTAACTGTGCCTGTGACCGTAGCTTCAGCCGAAAGAAGTTTCTCAAAGCTTAAATTAATAAAAACGTACTTGAGGTCATCAATGTCACAAGAAAGGTTGAATGGTTTAGCAACATTAGCTATTGAGAAGGAGATGATAGGAAACATTTATGTTGATGTTATTATCAATGATTTTGCATCTCAAAATGCTATAATAAACCGTTTCTTATGAGAATTTGTGTATGTTGTTTTGTAGGTGAGATGCGTCAATTTTCGATTGAGAGAAACGATTCTAAGAGATGATTGAAGATATAATAGGAGTAAATTGAGTGAAAAATTGTGATGTCTCTTTATATATTTGGTAAAATAATGTTGGTTAATTTAATAGAATCTACTCGTATAATTTTTAAGGAAAAAATTTATTTGGCGTTTATCGAAATTTATTCTTGAATTTTAAATTATTTTTTTAATGGCCCTTATCTCTTATTTTATTTACCTAGGGTCTTTAAAATGTCAAGACCAAACCTATAGGGGCCATGCTAATCTTCTCTGTATCATTCCAATTTTATCGGATGTTCTCGAAGGGACAATCTAAGATTCGTTTATTTCTAGACTTAAACTACCAGGAAACAATGTACGCGAGCGATATGGGAGTTTTAGCTGAATAGGTATTGATGGCCTGGTACAGAAAATATTTGGGGTCTCAAACGCCAGGCCCATGAATAAAATTATCTATAAAACCCAGATACATCCAATTAAAACAATATTGAATTAGATTTCATAAAATGTGAGGATAATATTGATTAAAAGATCAGACTTAAATAGATTGATGTAAAATGCTTTATTTGTATTTTTTTTGTTAAGTAACTATACAATAGATGGATCAATATAAGTTATTTTATTAATCAACAGAATTTGTCTTATATTTTTTTATAAAATATTTTACAGTTTAATTTTTCGTAAATACGTTTTAATTTTTAACTTCAAAGTAAATACTTAAAATACTCTCGTCGGCAACTCTTCTTCAATAACCATGATAACATTAAGAATCTTTGATTTTTTTAATCGAATATTGACCAACAAATCTATCATATCGAATAATGTTTTGATGAGATAATTAAATGAAAATTCGTCTGATGCCATAAGTTATTTTCCGGAGCATTATTGTTGGAGATTAGTTGAAAACCCAACTCAAATACCCGCGTTTCCAAGCGGATTAGGCCAATCTGTGACCTTTTAGTTGAAACATTCTAACCATTACTCGAACTAACCATCATATTGATGATTTTGACAATTAAATTCAGTTGCTTAATTTGCCAATTGTACTGCAACAACCATAAGCATTGCATAAACAATGAGAGGCAAATTATTGGAGGAAAATGAACAGGTAAACCGAGACAAATATTATACACAATATATGTATTATAGTAGAAGCTGGTTGAGACAGGGTGACAGCTGACAGTCACCAACTCCCACTTGTTTTCCAAAAAGAGAAGAGAATGTGGAAACTGAGGCATTAACAAATAAATGCTTGTGTAAAAAGGGTCATAGGCAAGGATCACTATTTATCTTTCTCTCATCTGTCTTCTTTAGAACTCAGGTTGAGTGAAGAAAACTGTCCACTTTTGGACATTTGACAATTGACATTGAGGGGTGTAGTCGCAAAAACAATGCTGATGCTCCTATGCCAAGTTTCTTCTTCCTTTACAGCGCACGGGCTGGTTTACATCTTTTAATGGATAAAAGGAAAGCGATATTCTTCTCCTTATTGCAAAAGGTAACTGTTTTATAGAGTGAGTGAACTTAGAGTACCTCAGAAAAGAGAGAAAATCACTGGTCAAATGCCAAAAGGTTTCATCTTTTCGTACCTGTATTTTTGGGTTCTTATGCCAAAGCATTTTCCGTCATCTGCTGACTTTCTGGCTGTTTTTAGCTCCAAAAGATGACCACTTTATGCTTTGTGGATAGAGCCTGAAGTCCTACTACTCTTGAAAATGCAAGAAAACAAGTTTTGGAGTGTAATCACCGATCTCTTCGAACCCTTTTGGCGTCTCTCATTTCACAATTGTGTACGTAGTTCATCTTCCTCAGAACCCTTCTGGTGTTCCCTTGTTCTTTTTTCTTTTAGAGCTTAATTGGTAAAGGCCTACGTTATTTCAGTTTCTATCTCTTGTTTCATCAATATTTGTTATTTCAGTTATAAATACTTATTATGTGATAATAATTTATCAGTGATGGGATTTCAAGGCAGTGGAAAATGTATAATGTTGGGATCGAGAGGGACATCATCAAGGCACAAGCGTTCGCAGAGGTGACTCGTCAAAATCCTTTCTTACTTTGCAATCACCATTGTTGTACTTCAATGTCAAGATTTTCTCTTACCGGAAGGAATTTTGAGATGGTGTTTACTTAAGAACTCTGAGCATTTACTGGTGGTTACTTAAGTAATTGTACCTCCGTGATCTCTATGTTTGAATTATTATCCTTCTCATCCATAGAGAAGGCCGAACTACTTTCAATCTCTCTCTTGTTCATATCTTATTCGATATTGATCTCGATTATTTGTTTTACACTTACAAACTGAAATGAAAAACTCGACCTGAAGAGGCATTTGCCTATTCTCTATGAGTTGGCTCCATGTCCCTTCTCCAAGATTTGGTTGGTCATAGTCATTAATGCTTTTGTGGTCCGTGGTTTATTAAAAGAAGTTTTGAAAGTTTATGGATCTTCTTGAAATTTGGCTTCACATAAAACTTTCTTTTATTTGCATAAGATTTGTTACCAGTTAGTTATTCTTTCTTTTTTTTTCTTTTTTAACTTCTTCACTCTTCATATCTTTTTGAGATTGTTTTCGGGAAAGATAGCTAAATGGACCACTGGTAAAGGGTGAGGAATTACACCCATGGTTTTCTTGCTTATAGAAATATGTGACACAAGTTATCTTTTAGCTTGAGTTTTGGCAATCACCAATGAGAGGCTACCAATTGCAAATTTGCATTGACATTCTTCAAAACTTACCTTTTACAAATTTTATCTATTGATTCTTGGCTAATTTTGTCCCATGACAGCTTTCCTGGTGAGAGAAGAGTTGAGGAAGATGGCTTGAGTAGTTCTCTTGAAGCACCAAGTTGTATAGACCTGGTAGTTCATTCTCTTTTTCCTTTTAGGTCTGGTAGTAATTTGGAAGCTATTATTTTTCCATGGTTAGAGAATTTGGAGCATAATGACTATGTTATCTTGATGTTTCTTAGACTAAAGATTATTTTTCTCTTGCATCCAATATAAAGGCCTATTGCAGTGTCAGTCACATAACTTATTAAAGATATCCTTTGCCCTCCCCTTTACCACGTTTCTTCCTTTTTCTTTGTTGCTTTACGTGCATATTGTTACGTATGATAGCATGTAAGAAGTGATGGTTTAAAGTGGGAATCGTGTTATCGGATTATTGATGAAAAACCAGTCTGAATAGAAGCTGATTTTATTTCATTTATGCCTGAGAAACTAGGATACAAGGCTTTGTTTAGGTAAATGTAATGCCTCTTGCAATTTGAGAATGATAACAGAATTCTCTTCCTAAATTAATATGGCTCCCTGAGAACATTTTCCATTGGACAAGGTTCTGATTTTTAAATATTTCTGATAGCAGGATATGAGGCATTTGAAGGACTCTGTCAAAATGAGTCAAAATCAAGAAGCAGCAGTCTCCCACTGCCAGCGCTGAGGTCCAAAGCTCTCTGAAACAAGAGGTGTGAAACTTTAACCTATTTTTTATCATTCTAGTCATATTTGGATACCACATTGGCTTGAATTCTATTTTGTGAGGTCTTCAATGACCCAAGATACTGCTCAAAAAGTTACAAAGTATTGCTAATGTGATTCTTATTTTTCTTCCTAAAACAGTTTTGTGCAGATTTCACAGCTCGAGAAAAGGTTGCAGTATTGATTTGAGGTTCGTCGGGCATTAGAAATAGCATTGGGTTATAGAACTTCCTCCCGTTATGATCCAGCGGTGCCGATATCAAAGGTAGCTCCTTTAGTTGTAAGGAAATAGGAGTTTATTCTTCATGTCTGCCTCTTGAAAGTTGACAGTGCTTTTCTGCAGCCTAGTATGGAGTTAGTAAAGGAAATTGCTGTATTGGAGTTGGAAGTTGTATATTTGGAATGGTACCTTCTCTCCTTGTATAGGAAAGCATTTGAGCAACAAGTGTCTTCTTTACCCTCTGTCACGATCGGGAGAGAAGATAGAAGAAAAGAAGGAAGCGAAGAGGAAATTGGGGGAAATGAAATCAAGGGTTATGGATTGATAGAGAATTGGGAATGAGTACCTGATTAATGATCACGTGAGGAGCACGAGGAGTTAATTACCATCAGGAGAGCTGAGTCCATGAGCAGCAGCAAGCCCAGTTGGTGGCCCTTTAGCTGAGAAAATAACAAACGGTTATTTGGAATCTACAGCTGGCATTAGTTAGATTTACTGGTACCTTGTAAACAAATAAAACAGTACTGTGTAAAGAGACAATCAAGCATATTTTGAATGAAAAATCCTATTTATGTATCTATTATGCTCTTTACTCTACGATTTCTTCTTCTCTATTCCCCTAATCTATCTTCTTCATCACAAATTGGTATCGCGAACCTCGGTTTCTGGCAAGTTTGGTGGCATGCCCAAGAAAAATCAGAACATGGCAGAAGATTTAGCTGGGTTGCAGAAACAAATGGAGGAATTGACAACACTGGTGAAACAAGGACAAGATGAGTCTAATCCTCCTAAATGGTGGGAGAATCAGGACAACAGGATTTCTGCATTGGAGTCTAGGATGGCTACGAACCATGGTTATGTTGAGGAAATTTTAAAGATTCTGACTGGTAGGAAGGAGGACCAAGACCAGTCTATTGAAGATCAGGTACAGACCCCTGACTCATTTAATATGAGTAACAAACAACCTGTTCAAGTGATAGTAATTAATGATAAGACTCGGTTTACTTATAAACAGGATGAACATGGTATTCTAAAGTCTAAACCGAATGATTTGCCTGTTCATCTAGCTAGCTTCAAAAATGATAACAAAATAGGGGAGAACAGTGCTGCTAGAAATCAGTTAATGGCTTTAGAAGTGGATAAAAGAGGTACAGGGGGTCTTCTAGTATGTCTGGGATTATGCTACATAGACCAAAAATTGAGCTACATTTTTTTGATGGAAGTAATCCAAGATGTTGGCTACAGAAATGCTTAAAATATTTTTCATTATGTAGTATTGCTGAGGAGCAAAGAGTGGAAGTAGCTACAATGTATTTAACTGGTAAAGCAGAGATTTGGTTTGATGGTTATATTACGCAAAAACATCATGTGACCTGGCATGAGTTTGAGGAAGATTTATGTCATAGGTTCTGTGATAAAGCCTTTGTGGATATAGTGGAGGAGTTTACAAAATTAGTCCAGAAAGGGTCGGTAGAGGAATATCAAGACAGATTTTAAGAGTTACAGCCTTACATGCTCTTACAGAATCCTACTTTAGGTGAGGAATTTTTTGTCTCTTTGTTTATTAGTAGATTAAGGGATGACATTAAATATAGAGTCAAAGTTCTAG